TGAAGTGTGTGTGTGTGGGGGGGGGGGTCAGGAGCCCCAGAGGGCTTAGGTGCTTATCTTGGGAGGACAGGTGAAGGGACTGGGCAGAGGGATTTAGTAACGCAATGGCATGAGATCCTGAACACAAGGACCAGAGCGTGGGAACGTTGTTTGCCTTGATTGTCATTGTGTCTGCAGTACCTTGCACTGAACAGGGCATACAGTAAGTGCTCAGCAAATGCTCGTGGAATGTCTGAATGAAGCAGTAGCACCCAAAAGAGCATGCACTAATGATCAAGTTGCTTAGCGGCACCCACGTCTCCCCAGGGATGGTGGTGAGGGCGTGTGGGCAGGAACATGAGAGAGAACGGTCCCCACGCTGCAGAGGAACCAAAGCACAGAAGAGGCCAGCTTCCCGAAGTTCCAAGGGGGGGTCCCCACGTGGAAGGGAGGCCGTGGCCCTGTGTGCCAGATGTTTGCTGGGCATCCAGTCCTCACTGGATGTCCAGAACACCAAAGGAGACAGGCAGACAAACAGAGCTATATCCTGAGCCAAGTGGAGGGGGCCCCCGTAAGAGAGGAAGGAGGCCAGAAGGAGGAGCCTGGGGGCCAGCCCTGCTGCCTCTTGATAGGGGGAGCAGGGAGGTGGGGTGCTCTGGGCCAGTGGTTGGGTCAGATCTCCTGCCAAAGCAAACCTCCCTCTGGGGGCTGGGAAGGTTGGCCAGCTCCCTCTCTACTCAGATGGGATCAAAGGCAAACAGGAACCCTACAGGGTCCAGCTGTGACCCTTGCCCCCATACTCAGCAAGGACCATTAACCTCATCCTCCCCATAGCTCTTAACATAGTTTTCTCAGCCCAAAGAATCTCTGGAAAGAAATACAAATTCATCTGATATTTACTTATCAAACACCAGCCGAGAGACGTCAGATTTCCCCAGCTTCACCCCTAGCCCTGCCTTTCTGCCCAAAAGATACCAAAACCCTGTCCCACATCTTATCTGGCTCTCGATAAGAAACCAAGGTAGTCTTTGCCCGAAAACAAAGCTCTTCCTGTTCCCATACCTGGGGTTGCAGGGGACCAGCTTCCTCTCTCTGGTCACACTAAGAAACAAGGCGAGAGCACCCACCCCTCGACTCTACTCCTGAACTCAGCTCTCCAACTGGGAGCTCTCACACAGGTGCGACTGCAGGTGACTTCTGCTGCTCACTTGAGCTGAGCCGTGAGCAGAGGAGGAAGTAGCATGGAAATTGCGATTGTCAGAGCAGGAGAGAGACCTCAGAGATTTTCTAGACCTGCTCCTCGTCACTCAGATGAAGATGCCGAGCCAGGGTAGAAAAGCGGCTTGTCCAAGGTGATACAGGTGATGAGTGGTCCCAACAGCACGAACCTCAGCCCACCTGATTTGCAGGCAACCACAGACTGCATGATGGGCGAGGGGTGGCAGGAATACGGAGGGTCAGAACACTTTGAGCCGTCCAACTAGGGGACGGGGTTGACTCGGGCCTTCTGGGTCACACTGGCTCCTTTCCTTGTTCTCCCAGGGCCTTGCATCTGTGTGTCTAGGTAGGCTCCCAACATGGAGCTATCCAAGTCCAGGAACAGACAGGAGGGCAAAAGAGATGGGGAGAGGCAGCAGCAAAGAAACGGAAGAAATTACCTCTGGGTGCTTTTCTCTTCTTATTTTCCTGAGTTCTACATAACGTAGTTTATTTATTTATTTTTTAAAGAGTTATTTATTTATTTGAAAGGCAGAGTTACAGAGAGGCAGAGGCAGAGAGAAAGAGGGAGGTCTTCTATCTGCCGGTTCTCTCCCTAAATGGACACAATGGCTGGAGCTGAGCCGATCCGAAGCCAGGAGCCAGGAGCTTCTTCTGGGTCCCTCACATGGGTGCCGAGACCTAAGCATTTGGGCCATCTTTCACTGCTTTCCCAGGCCATAGCAGAGAGCTGGATAGGAAGAAGAGCATCCAAGACACAAATCGGCGCCCATGTGGGATGCCAGCACTGCAGGTGGAGGCTTAGCCTACTACGCCACAGCGCTGGCCCGGAAGAGTCTTAGGATCTGCTTTGAGTAGAACAAAAAGAAAGATCAGAAAGAAAATACAGGAAGAGAGAAAAGCTAGTATAGTCCTTATGATCCTGTGGGGAAACTGAGGCAGCAGCTACTTTGGCCCAGCCTTCCCCCGGGTGTCCCTGAGGTCAGAGGGGCTAGAAGGAGCAGAGGCTACAGCACAAGGGAGAGTGAGAAGGCATCTTTCTTAGACACTAGGCATGCCCCACCTGGCCATCGTGGGCTCTTGCATATCCGGGCACCCCAAGACGACCTCCCCTGGAAAGCAGGAAAGCTCCACCCACAACCCAGGAAGGCCCTGGGGGCGTGGCAGGTGTTAAGACAGCAGGATCTGAAGAGGGAAGGAGAAGGAGAGTCAGAAGGAAGGGAAGAGGGGAGCAGAGAAGAGTTGGCCCAGGGAGCGCTGGCAGCAGGGGAGAGCTGGGGAGGGGCAGAGAAGTGGGGTGAGGGGGCGGGAGGAGGGACAGTGGGGTGATGGAGCCTCCTGGCGCTTCCTTCCCTCCCACTCTCCCCCCACCCCCCTTTCATGATCTTGAAACAACCTTCAAGTCTGGGCTGGAGGCCCCAGGAGGCCAGTCACTTAGGAAACAAAACTGTTTCTTGGAGACCTTGCAAGCCCATCTGCAGCTGAGCTGCAGCCCCATCCCCCTGCCTGCCTGTGCACATGCACATTCTCCCATGGCCTCTCACGTACACGCACGCCCGGCTTCACACGCACTACACGCACGCACGCACGCACGCCTGCGCACACCTGTGTAACAGACATGCGCCTGCATCCAAGTCCACTGATCACGCAGCCAGGCGAGTGTCCTGCTCTCCTCCCTAGGGGAGCTTCTCCTTCGGCATTGCAGTCTGGTACATTCACACTGCCTCACACCCACACAGCCAGTCTGCTGGCATCGGTAACTGATGTGTGCCGCACACACACAGGAAAGCATACATCCTCTGTCCCTGTCTCTGACCACACACACACACACACACAC